CCTTATTTAGTATATCTCCATTTCCCCAAGAGGAAAGCTTTGAGGAGGTTTTCCAGAGGTAACCAATTTGCCTTTTCCCAGTCTCTCAAATCAATTCCTCTGCTCAGCCACAGGTTCCTTTCACAAAGCAACATCCACAGGTGGTAAATCTAGCCGACCTTTTCAGTGTGGTGTGTGTTCCCATGGATAACTGTCCCTATGGCCACACCACATGTCAGCGATGCCTACTGTGTCCTGCGCAAGCCCCCAAAGAGCTCACCCCTGCTACTGCAATACAGAGCACGGCTGGCTCAGCTGGGCTGATAGAGCTCCACCTGAGTTTGTACTTGTCCTGGGTTCAGCAGGGAAACGAGCCACCTAAATATACTCTTAAAATAATAACGATATAACACAACCAGTTGCCTTGCTTGGTTCAGAGTGTGTTCCCACCAGTAAACGTAGCAGCACAAGTTACACGGGAGCATGGCATTGGAAAACACTGGTGAAGCTGTGGAGGCTGGCAGAGGATCTTCTACCTGAGTGGCCACAGAAAGAGAATCTATGGTACCACAATAAGCTGCCTGCACCATGGGAAGCTGCCATGGCCAGAAGGTTTCAGGCTAAGTCTCTGTGTTTGCAAACATCCACTCCCAAGACACCAGAAGAAAAACGGTATGGCAGGTTAATGGAGGTGTCCAGAGAATTTTGAGCGTGTCTCATGTTTGTGGGTTTTTTCTTGTCTGGCACACTTCTAACACCACATAAACCGCACCTTATCTGGTGTGGGAAGGTGGCCAATTAACTAAAATAAACAGGAGAGCTCAACAGAATACTTCAGCTGCATGTGGGTTGTAACAAGATCCTTATTTCACCTGAAATATATATGTCTATTTAGTGCTGAAGAGTAATTATGAGACCTATTAATGAACATCAAACCTTGCTTAAAAGTTTCCCTGTTACCCAGTTAAAGGATGTTAATGCTTGTTATTTACACCTTCAATATCTGATGCTTTCATACATCAGTAACATCAACAGCTACCATTAAACCGTGAAATGGCTTTGTGCACACCAGGGGCTACTATTCAGGACCTCTGGCATCAGGGGACTGCTCTCTCCTTCCACATCCTGACCAATTCAGTCCAGAGCAGGTTACCACTTTGGGCCTAGCCTATTCTTCTGGTCATCATGGTCTCTGAAGATGTTTTTGAATAAGTTTACTTATTCTAGTGAACCTCTGTTTGCTAAATATGAAACAAATAAAAAGTGAGTCCAGAATGGTGAACCTAGTCCTGAAATGTCTGCAGTCTTATGGAAAAGAGAGTGGAGTAAACCCATCCCTTTTCATTGAGCTCATCCTGGAGACAGAATCTGATGTGCTATTCCCTTTGTATCTTACAGTGATTCCCTCAATATGACAGCAGGGGACTTTGGCCCCAGAAATGCCTTCTTGACTACTGCTGCTGGCCTCAGGGCTGCTCATGCAGAGCCAAACTTTGCTGTCCTTCCCCAGGAGCTGAGCTTCTGAGAACCCTTTCTGCTGCCTATCAGCCCCTCTTCAGGGGTGATGAATTGCTGCTGATAGTCCTCTTCAAGTGAGCCAAACAAACCAGGAGGAACTGTGTAAGGGTTTCACATTGATTAAGGTGTGTGGTAGTTACCCACCATCATGAGTCTGTCATTAGCTATTAATTAAGCTAAGTAAAAGATAAACATCGGCTTTAGGAGCCATTCCCAGAAATCAAGAGTTTGCTGTCACTGATATCCATAGGCTAGCATCTGCAGAAAGCAAGTTAAGTAGCTCTTAATTTTTCTGGCTGTATGTATGAGACAGTGTTTGCCCTTAATTTTAGAGAATGTCATCTTGCTTCTGGCATAGCTGAAATTTTATGCCATGTTCAATTTTTAGCAACCTGCCTATTGTCAGCCTACACCAATGACGGCAACTAAAGCTGTCTGGGAGTCATCTGGGATTCTGAAAAGGATTTCCAGGAAAATCCTTGGTAAGATGATGCAGTGCATTATTTGAGCAGTGCTGACCAATCTTCTTGGCTCTTGAGCCAAATGTATATTTTGGCTGGCATGGGGCTTCCCCCATGGCTGCTGCTCTGCACCCCTCCTGCAGTGCCTGTGATGGCTCCCAGCAGTCCCGAGGCTGCAGGAACCCATTGGGAATGTCCCCAGGCTGGACACATACACATGTCCACATAAGCACCTTCCAGCCCAGCTGCCTGTTACTCTGATTGCTACCTATTGTCTCCAGTCCCCAAGTGCAGAGGTGCCCATGGCAGCAAGAGACTGAGCCAGGATATGTGGATGGTGGTGCTAGCACTGTGTGGACTTGCTGTGTCTTGCTCAGACCTCTACTGGTGTACCAACATCTCTGCTCAGCCATCCCAGCAGCCCGAGTGTGGCCGAGTCATTGTTTCATGTGAGCCATCACCACATGGTCCATCTGCTGGTGTCCAGCCATGGAGATGTGTCCTAGTCACTTCCTAGCAGAGGGCCTGGCTTTCTCTGTATTTCTCCTGCTGTGTTAGTGAGCTCCCTTCTGATACCACTGACCACTACTCTAATGTCTAAAAGCTAAGCATCGTTTTTTTGGCCGTGTTGTTCCTCTTCACTGAGACATCAGCATTGAAGGCAGGCAGGGAGAAGAGGGATTTTGGCCCCAGAAGCAGGAACATCTCTTGTCTGCAGTTCAGACAACAGTCTTGGCAAGCACTGGTTGAGTTTAGTGAGTATTTTTGATACAGGCATTCTTAGAAAATTCCAAATCTACAAAATTTGCAGAAAGCATTCTACAGGAAGGTACTAGCTGTTGACATTGTGAATTCAAATAAGAGCTGCATTTCTCAGGTGCCAACAGAGAAAAATGCCATTTCCTTAAAACTTGGGGAAAGTCAAAAAAGATGCAATAAAATCTACCTTTAGCTATCATCACACAACACATCCTCGTGATGACTCTCAGGAAAATTTCATCTGTGCCTTCCCTTTTTGCTACTTTCATGTCCTTCCCATCCTAATTACTAAATCCTCCGGAAAGTCTGAAAAGAGAATAATTTAATTCTTTAGACACACCACTCTCTTCTATTCCTTTGCAATCCCCATGCCTAATCAAAACATATGCAAACAGTCTGTTAACATGTTAAGCTAAAATAATATTTAAGGAAATAAAATGTTTTTAACACTGAACCTAACAGGCATCTTCATTTCATGGTAGATTCAAGATACCAGATTTTGTAAGATACTAGGTTTTGAAACCTCCGTGCTCTGAAGATCCTTGAGTCCAGGATATGAAACAAGTGAAGCTACAGCTTTCATCTCAAAGGGATTTAGAATAAATGGTGTTCAGAATTGTGTTTTCTCAGAGTGTGCCTTAGCACCTCAAAGGCAAAGAGGTTTTTTCTGTCTTTATCCACTACGAAAGAAACTCAATTTGCAACCTAAACTATCATTATGTCTTTGTGGATATCTCATCTAAGACTCGTCAGATGAAACAATGCTCGGTCAAGTTTAGCAAAGGCTCAGCCAGTAGCCATGAACCGTTTCACAGTGCTGGTTCTGCACCAGAAGTGAAGAAGTGAATTTTCAGCTTTGGGGGTACATCACTGCTAAGGCTCACACATCTCCTCTGCCGCTTTGCTAATAGTGCCTTGTAAAGCAATACAGCTGGAAGGATTCTGAAAATCAAAAGTAGGTTTTTCTGCTTTGCTTGATTTGTTACATCTGTGCCTGTCTCAGTGCATGGTATCTAACCACCACTCATCTTCCTAGCTTTGCCTAGACACTCCCTCTTAAACAATTCCTTTTTAGAGTGTCTTGCTTTGTGCCAGGCACTCTGTTTGCCATCCGCCTGAGCAGATGGAAATATGCATGCCTCTAACAAACTTGACCTTGTTAGGCTGCTCGTCCTTCATATCTGAGTGAGACAGAGATGTAAAACGTAACACCCACTACCTTGCAGAGGGCAAAGAGACTCAAACAGCGTGTGTCTGCCATGCTGTGAGGTGTCTCCCGCAATGCTGCAGTGATATGATCAGCATTGCAGCTCCTGCTTTTCAGCATCTCGGTGGTGTTGTAAAGTGTATGCTCGCCTGCTCACCAGCACGCCAACATTTTCTCTCTCTTCACCTCCTGGAAATCACACCTGGGGGCTAAACGTGGTGCATCAGGAAGCAGCCAAGGAAAGGCACATAGTATCAATAGCTGTCCTTTTGGCAGTGGTTAAAAGGGGAACTTGAGAGATAACCACAAAAATAGAAAGGTAATGTGTGAATGGAAAAAGAGGATAAACGGAGGTTTGTAAATTGTTTTGATTTGTGATTTGATCCCAAAAGGAAGTTTGAAAAAATGACTGCTGTCCACTCTGCCTGCGCCATGTGTTGCTGCAGCCTAAGTGGGATTCGTCCCACTTTATGCAAGATACAAGAAAATTGTAAATCTAAAGTCTGTGGGCATGACTAAAGAAGTGAAACATGAACCTCTATCAGACAATTCATCTGACATCCCTTAGATGCTTGATTATCCTCTGCAGCAGCCTGTTCTTTCCTAGAAAAAAAGACTACATTAGTCTCAGCCCCCGAGGACTCCAGGCAGTTGCCTACAGGGAGCTGTCTAATGCCACTGGATATACCCTGGGGTCTTGAGACACCTGTATGGGTCAGGAGGGAGGACACAGGAGCTGGAGGTGACCAGTGACGTTATGGCTGCCTGGAGCCATATCTGTGTGGGCAACTGAAGGAGCTCCCTAACTTGCAGGTCCTTGTATCAGGGCTGGTTAATCTTCCCACAAATAGCCTAAACAACCACGCTCAGCTTATTGCCTTAGTTAGAATAAAAGTGTTCTTGCTATAACTCCATGAACTTCACGCAGCCAAGCCCCACCCCTGCTGCTCAGCCAAAATGTGCTCTAGAATGCAAGGGCCACAGCTGAACCACAGCTGAGGGCAACATTTCAGTGTCTTACAAGTTCCCTTCCCACCTTATGCATCTCTTTAGTGGAAGAGTGTTGCAGAGTGTTGCAAAGTATTGCGGGGAACCAAGGGAAGGGCTGCAGAGACATGAGTGTGGGCAGTGCGGAAGGAGGAGGGTGCAGTTCCCTTTGGTCCACCTTAAACCTTCTCTTCCCTCCTCCACACCTCCGGAGAGCTTCCAAATCCTCTTCATCTACTGCTGGCATGTCTTTTTGAGTTCTGTAGCTGCTGTATAACAGGAAAGGAAGAATATGCAATTAGAATATAGTAAGTTATCATTAGAGATATATGAGAACTTTCATCTCTATATTCACATTAGATGTAGCTGGCACTACAATAATTTGAAATGAAAGAAATCTAGACCCTTTCAGCACGTTTAGATTCAGATTTCAACGTGTTTTAGACTGGTGAAATCTGAGAATGCACAGCAAAATGACGTGTCCTTAATTCTTTGTCCTTTGTCATTGGCGGCAAGATCCCACCAATGCAGTGGAATAAGGATTGAGCTACCAAAATTTCACATCTGTTTCCCAGGCTGGGCAGTGTGGGTGACTGGTAACAGCTCTTAAGAAGTATTAGCTCACTGCACAGTTAGCAATAGACAAGCAAGACTTAAAAGACAGCCTAAAATTCAGAAACAAGTTAGCACTCCAGATAACTTAAAAGCAGCTACTGATACCCTGTATCTCTCCTTTGTTTGGGGTGGTGAGGAAGCTGCCAGCTAAAAGAATGTTCTCTCCTTTTAGGGTGTAAGTCCCTGCTGTTGGCAAATTGTTCTCATGTTTGGTAAACCAGCCAACTTGTGACCTCTGAGTTGCTGACAAGTGAAGAGGGCACTCTTCTATCCTCGGGACAATAGTCAAAATATAATAGGCCAGATTCTCAAATCTGATCTGGCACTTCTGTGGTGTTCAGGAGGTGACAAGGAACTGGCAAACATCCTGCTGCTAATGGCCAGCCAGAAATGCCTCTCCTGGTCACCCCACCTCACCAGGAGAGCAAAAGTTGAGAAGAAGCAGGTGGAGATCTGCCCCACATAGAGATAAGCTTGACCCAGGTCACTGCGTCAGTATGAGGTGTCGTAACCCACAAACTGAGTACAGACTGCTGAGATAACCCAGCTGGCCTCATCCTGGTAGCCCTCATTGTCTGGATCAACCTAGAGTAGGCTGTAGGTCAATCAGATTACTCTGGTTGCAGTTTTCTGCCAAGCAGCATTGGAGTAATCCATGGAGGTGTGGCTCTATGCCTAAAGCAGAGAAAAGAAGGGTGAGCATCACCTTCTGAGTTACAGGAGTAACTGTTGCTCTGGAGAGGAAAGAAACATCTTTCCTGGCAAGGGAAACTTTGGCAGCATTAATTATTACCAATGCCAAGTGTTAAGAAAAGACAAATAATGAGGCACATTTCAGCGAACTAGAGATTAAAAAATCAGTGCCTCTAGCTTGTGTTAATGGCCTCCTGGTACTTGAGCTTGTAGTGTAAGGAAAGGCTGGATATGTGTGGGAAGTGAAGGATTAGATGGTACCTTTACAGGAGCTCTTTATCACAAGGCTTGAAGGTGTTTCAGAAAAATGAAATCTGAGATTCATACTCAGTCCTGCGTCTTCATGATCTGGAATCTTGAAGTAAAGGATCAAATATGATTTAACCACTGAAAAAAAAATGATAAATGCCCATCAAAGTTCAACATGTTCTGGCCTTCTCCTCTTAAAGACATCAGAGTTTCTGATGAAAACATCTTACAATAGTCCTCTACCACAGCTAAGACCTGGGAGAAACATTCAGTCTTGCAGCAGTAAATGTCTCAGTTTTGCATTTTGTGGCTCTCTGGATTCTTGCTTCCTTTGGCCAGATACTGGGAACTACAAACCATCCTTATGAGACTCGTATGTTCTACTTATTGATTAGTTTGGTCCAAAATTTTTCTTCAAAATAATTTTTGGTGAAAACCAATGTAACTTTCCCTTCTCCCCTCCCAATTACTTGCTTTCCAAAATGTTTCTTTTATTGAGAAAACTATGTAAATTAATTGAAACCTTGACCTTAGGACCTTATGAAATCTGGGTTTCAGTAGTTCTCTTCCCTTAGGTTGATTCCTGCCCTGCCCCACTGCCTCCCCAGGGAACAGGTTTTCTCAGCAGGAGTTGCAAATTCTGCTACAGGCAGTGCTTGCCTAACGAGTGTGTGGAAAGGATGGGATGTGAGAGCACTAATATACAGCTCTCACCAGCCGCTGCAGAGGCATTTTTAAAATGTATTTGTTCTTGGTGGCATTTGTTTGTTTGTTTTTTTCTAATAAACACTGCTAACCTAGGGTTTCTGTTCTTTTTTTTTTAGCAAATCGAGGGAGGGAAGCACCCATTTTCTACTCAGCTGGTACCAACTATTTTTGCACCTGCACCATTTGGCAGCAGATTTATTTATTACTTATCTGTATTGCCATAGTGCCTAGGAGCCCTGACAGAGACCAGAAACTCATAGAAACCAGAACAACAGCTATTTTGTGAAGCTGCGGTAACAGATTTTCAGCTGACAAATAGAAAATACTTATATTTGTTTGACAACACCTTTAGTACCTTTCAGACCATGATGAGAATTTAAAATACAGACAAACCAAAACAGGGACGTGTGGAGGTTTCTTATCTGTAAGATAATAAATCTGAACAAATGCAGGTATATATGCAACATGTACACCAGATACAGCTAGAAGCAGAGGCTTTTCAGCGATTAAAAGCACGATCAAGGTCCTACTGTCTATAAAAAAACAAAATGGAAAAGTAGTTCTTTATGACTTTGTGTTAAATTCAGCATTATCACGTAACGCATAAGCTCAAACCAAAACCTCTCCTGTGGCTGGGGCATTTGGTGTGGATTTTTTGATGTGTAATGAGACCACCTCAACCCTACGTGCTTCTAGTGTTTTGTTTCTCTAGTAGTTGCTAAAGCTATTTTTATGACTCTTGTAGAGATATATTTGAGAGCACTACCCTTCTAAAAATGTATATGGAATTTATCAAGGGGCTTCAATGGTTATTGGGTGATACACACACAGAGCATGACTGGACAGAAAGATGTCTGTGGCAACATACCTTACAAGCTGCTCTCCCTTAAAAGTCTTTCAGAGTTCTGCAGAGTGCAGTAGCCTAAAAACCCTTACCTGTCAGGCTCGTCGCGATCAAATTAAATAGGAAAAGCATTTGGAAGGCAAGTTCCTATTTTTGCCTTTGTGTTGGCATTTCAAAACTTTCCCCAGAACCAGCTCCAGTGTTTTAAAGAAAGTGCCATGTGGGAGGAGAGAAATAGTGCTGAGCAAGAGCAGGAACAGCACAGGAAGGCTCTCTGCCAGGGTTTGCCTCGTCATCCCGAAGTTCAGTTCTGAGGGAGCTGTGAGTCACTTTAATGTGTACAAGTAGAAAATTGGAAAGTAGAAAAGTAGGAAGTTTGTACAAACCCAAAGAGAGCTATGGGCTTTTATTTCCAGTTCCCTGCTGCCTGCTCAGCTTTAGCTTTTCTCACCTGCTTCTCCATCTCAATCTTGGATTTTCTCAACCCTCATCTGATCAGCAATTTTCAGTTTTGTGTCCACAGCCTTGTGGTTTTGTCACTCCAGTGCTGCAGGCAAAACAAGTACACCAATGTCCCAGAAGAAAAGGGAGAGTGGGTAGATCATACCACGCCTCTGCCAAGTTCATACCTGCGCCATCATTGACCTGCTAAATTGACTGTGGTGTCTTCCTGCTGGCTGCCCCAGACAGTCATAGCTGCCCCAGAATCTATTATGTGTCTGTCAGTGTTCAGGAGAGAGGTGAGGAGAAAAAAAGGGGAGTCTTCAGGGAGAAGAGAAAATGAGACGGAATATTTCCCTGACTCTGGAATTAATGTCCTTCACTGGCAAAGGTTAAGGCAAGTCCGGACAGGAATTCTAGCTCTCAGTCAAGTGTAGAAAGAGAGAAATAGAGAGAAACATAACTAATTTGATATGGTTGTTTCTGGTCCTTGTGTAAGGAAGAATCAATAGTTCCTGGAGCATATGCAGATGAGTTAAGCAGCAGTGTGGGCAGTGCCGGTGAAAACCTCACCAGCCATTAACAGATGCCAAATCACTTTCCTGATCAGACAGCAGCCAGTGTGAAAGACACACCTACCCCAAAATTCAGTGCTCTTCTACCAGTGCAGGAGACACCAGTTCCCAGCCTGCTTGACTTCAGGAAAACAAGGGCTTGCCCTTGCTCATTGCCCTTTCAGATGATAGTGTAAAAGCCTCCTCTGGTTTTGATGGCTGTTAAAAAGGAATAAATTAAAAGGTCACATGGGCTGAGATTTATGGTAAGACTTTGATCTTTGTGCAGAGGTTTGCTGCATCATGTGAGAGAATGAGGAAACTGCTGTTGGCCTTTTCTCTTTAAATTCAGAAGGGAGGATGTGTAGTTTTTTTCTCTATCTTTAGAAGTGATTAAAATTAGTACATTATAAAAAAAGCATTCTATATAAAGATGGTTTTACTGAACTACTGGATCATATGATTTACTTTCTCCCTCTTTTGTTGGGTTTTCTGTCAGATTACAAAGCATGGTAACTGAGCCTTTTTATTTCTTACAGTTCTACTGATCTATCTTTTCCTTCTTGCTTCTTCCACATAGTTTGCATAACGGTCAGTCATCTGCATCACCTCAGCTAATTATATGACAATGAGGGATAAAAAGCATGATTAGGGCTTTCTCTTTAGTTATTTCTGATGTTTATTTTTATAGCTTCGTTAACAAATTAGAGGCAATACACACAAAATTCAACATACAGTCCAAAAGTAAAGTGACCAGTGAACAATGCATTTCAGGTTTTCTAATAGTCCACAGGACTCAATTTCAGTCAGTAATTTCACTTAAGGAACTGTAGCTGATTACAGATTAAGCTAAGTGGAGGTCATAAAAATTTCTGTTATGCCATGGCTGCTCATTAGCCATTGTGAAATAAGAGTTTGATCCACCCACAGCACTACCTCAGGTTATCTGCCTAAGAAATGTACCCTGGGAATAAAGCTTCTCTACTACTAATGAAAATTGACAAAACAACAGCTGCTTTGGAGAAAAGCATTACAAAACTCCTCATAATCAGGGTCTGCACACATTTGCTGTTATTTAGAAAACAGCTTTCTTTTGGGGGGAGGAAGCAATCATGATGTGTGACCCTACTCCAGTCATCTCAGTTATCTGCTTCTGAAAGTGACTGAAAAGAGATACGTAGAGGTGAATAAGAGAACAGGAATTCTCCCCCATGGTATACTCTCAGCACACAAAAATGACTATCACATTGATCTTAAGAGAGAAAGGCATGGTATGTCAAAGCATGAAATTAAAAAAAGAAGTAAGAATCTACAGTGAGCCAAGTTTAAATGTGCTATGCTGTAGGAGTAGCAGCAAGAACGACAATTTAGCAGGAAATACCTCTCTGATCTGCAACTCTGTGTACTTGCGGCTACAAATCATGAGAAGCAAAAAAAGGAGAAGAGAAGGCTGCTTGGGATTAGACATTTACAACATTTCCATAGGCCCATCTCCCCTACCCTTTCCCCATCCTATAGCTCACTTCAACAACAGAAGGCCATACCCGTGTGCCTGCTGGCTGGTGAACAGTGAGCATCATCCCCATGTGCCTGCAGAGAGGCCATTCCAAGTCAGCAAGTACATCTCCAGAAAAACATCTTTATTTTTATTAGTGCAACCACTGTCCTGTGGCCTCTTCTGAAGTTTGTTGCTGAGTCTTTCAGCAGCTGTAGACATCCAGCTGTCGTCTGTTTCAACTGAGAGAGCTTTCTGAACAGTTTTCCTAGCCTGCGCTTCTGCGGTTCATAACTCTGACACGAGCCATCTTTGCATGGGATAGAAAGTCACTTCACGCAATTAGCAGGCCAATGTTTTATGGGTCATTAGGCAGCGCAACACAGGAGAATTGTTTGAAGGAGCACAGGGCAAATGGAGGGTACGGGGATGGACATTTTCACTCTCTCATACTCTAAACCCTGAACGCTCGAAAAATTTATGCTTATGCACAGATACTTTGCTAAGAGGATAAAACAAAATCTGATAATGTTTCTTTCAGGCAAGTCTCAACAAAATCATAGCTCTTTCTTGCCAAATAATGAGGCTGTTGTTTTTCCTTCTTTTTTTCTGAAGGCATTGTATGAATTTTTGGAGTCTTGGGTTATTGCCCTAGGGAATGGCCTATAATTTGAGTGACTGAACATACTGTCTTTGTTTTGACTTTGAACTGGGTTGGTTCTAAATAAATTATGAATAACAAGAAAAAAGCAGCAAACAAATATGGAAGCAACCATGTGACCAGCTCAGACAAGACTAGCCTTTAGTATCCAAACAAATTGTGTGATGGGAAGTGGATCTGCTCACATTGCAAACGACAATTAAAAATCCCGGTGATGACTGCAAACTTCATGTGATTATTATGCTGATAGCTTATGTGCTGCCTTACCCTTTGCACGGTGGGCTTGCTCAGGTAGCAGAGGAAGGTCCAGACAAGACACAAGAGGCCTTCACAGCGGGTAAGCCATCAGAGACACCTAGACAGAAGGATAGGGAGCCTATGAAGGGTAACAGGGCATTCAGGCCACCACAGGCATATTCCCCTATGGCAGGGATGAGATAAGGGTGGAGACCCAGGGCTGAGGGCAAACTTCTTCTGGAAGAGAATCAGGAGCAGGGTCTCTGGCAGTTGTGTGGGCACAGGGTTGCTCAAGCAGTGGGACAGATTCACTTTCCTCAGTTGGTGCATCCAGATGATCTAGTTTGCCATCACTTCAGGGCTCCCAGATTGTCTTGGTCCAGCTCCCTCCTCATCACTGCCCTTGGACAGTGCAGAGCACTCTTCTTGCCTTTACTGCGTGTGTACCCACCAAATATGGTATACAGGCTGTGTCTTCCAGGAAGGGACAAAGAGGTGTCTCCATATATATTGTGGCCACCTCAAGGAAGAGTTTCCTGGCTTCCCTCCTCTGGTTCTGTACCGAGCCTGGCAGCTGCAGACCAAGCAGCTCCATCAGTCCCCAAGCTGCAGATCCTTCTGGAACCAATAACTGGTATGAACAAATATTTAGGGGATTAAAAAACCCAAGTCTGTATAAAAAGAACTATTTCTTTATTAACTTTGGTCAAGGCCTACAAAATTCAAGTTAATAAGAACTTTATCCCTGTTTTTTGCTTTAGAACTGATCTAATTAGGGTTCAGTCCTTTTGTGGTTTGAACTGAAACTTATGCTGTAAATCCTACCATGTAGGCAATGTGCTGATGTGTGGGAATGAAGGGATGGGCTAGAAATATAAATACACTGAGGGGAATACAAAAAAGAAAAGGAAATACAAAGTAAAATGATAATTTAGATGACATAAAAAAAGTAAGCAATAGTTTGGTTCACAGAAAATAGGTAAGGAAAATACTTCAAACGTAATTTTTATCTTTGCTACATCTCTTTGAAAACTATGAAAATGTTTGTAGCTGGCTGAAGATCCTGTGGGAAAACATTTACATTTTAGCAGCGTTATCTTCTTAGTCTGTTCCTATGACTTCTGTGTACTGCTGTTGTGACAACAGACCAGTTACAGCTATTACAGTTTCCAATTGAATTTGGATTAATGGGTCTTTTTAAGGTCTTTTATAAATCAACTGAATGTTCCACATAAATTATATGTCAGTCAGGGTATTTTGGAAGTAAAGAAAATGTTTTCTAAAGCCCATATATTGCTATAGATATTTTTTAGCTTCATTGTGCCTTTGTCTTTTTTCCAGTGGAATATGAAGAAAAACACAGTCCAGGATACTGTGCAAACTTTGTTTAACTGTATGGTGTTAATATTTCATTCTAGTTCTTCACAGCATATAAACTTGACGCTCAGTGAAGTAAATGGGGTAGCTGGAATTCACAAACATAGCTGCAAATCCTATTAGCAGTTAAAGACAGCAGGTCCGAAATGCTCCCTAGTGCGCATAAAATCTTTTATTGCAAAAGAGTCAGTTTGGGATGAATGGCATTTACATCTTAGAGGTAAAAATACCTCGCAAAATAGTTCTGTTAAACAAGTCCACCTTTTCCTGAAAAAGCCTACTAAAATTTAACATTTGATAAAGGAGGGAGGAAAACGGCCAAGAATGGTTCCAAACAGCTGGGATATCTTGGTCAAGTGCAGGAGCTGAGTTGTGACAACAGACAAGGCTGTTACGTGGCAACTGAAGAAAAGCAGGAGTGTGTTTAGTTTCCAGCAGCACTAAAGTAAACAGGTAAGAGCGTGAGGCTGGATGGGGATGTATATCTGTTGTGCACTGGAAAGTGGCATCTGGGATACCTAAACACATTCCCGGCGCATGCTCTTCCAGCCAGCACTTCCCACATCCAGCCAGCACATCCCACATTCCCACATACAACTTCCCAATTGTATAAGCAACCTTTTTCTAGTGACTATAACACAGCCACCATGCAGGAAGAAATATAGCCAATTTTAAAAATGACCTGTCAGTCCCAGAGGCTCAGCAGTAGACACTGCACTGGCATGTAACAGGCTTGACTACCTGGCTGTGATCTCCACTGTCTTCATAGGACTGTATCCTATATTCCATCCTAATGTGTGTAGAGGTAATGTCTTAATAACGCACAGACTTTCAAATCTGACCACCTCTCTCATCTGCTTCTTACCAAAGGCCATAGTGGTCACCAAAGCTTACCAAAGGCCCAGTATCTCCGGGGGGGGGGGGGGGGGGGAAGAAATAAAAGAAAAGGAATTTCCCCTGAAAGATTTGCCTTTACTCAGAGATACCTAATGATGGCAAATGCAGCATTTTCCTTTGTAACTTGTTCCAGCAGCTAATAGCCTCACAGCTGAAAACGCCTGTCACTGTTTCTGATCTGAATACACTTGGATTTAGCTTGCAGTATTAAGAGTCTTTTTTCCCCCCTCACACAGGAAATTGCACACAGAAACTCAATCTCCCTTCAGTCTGTTTTGAAGAATTAACAGATTCTTCCTGTCTCCAAGTACACGACAGTTTTTCCAGCCTTCAACTCATTTTGGCGGCTCTTCGCTGCAGCCTCTGTAGCCCTTCAGGTCCCTTTGAAAATGAGGACACCAGAATTATGTGCTAGTATCTATGTTGACCACAGATCTAAATTTACTTCACTGCTCTCCTGATTGTATACCCAGGATCTCGGCTGCTGGCACTGCCCTAGGGTGACTGTGCTGGTCCTTGTACAACATCACCTCTTCAGCTGCTGTAGGGAGCTGTAGGGCTCCCCACTCTGCAGGGATGACCTGGCTCTTTTCCAGATGCGGTCCTCTGAGGCGTGATCCCCACTTGGCAGCAGTATCCAGGCACGTTTTAGTTGTGACACCACACCTGATGGCAGGTATACCCAGAAGGACTCATGGATGCCCTAGGGTGGACATAGATGTTGAAGCCCAACTTCCCTGAGCAATCACGGTCATTTTGGACCACCATCCTTTCCTCATCACTGTGCCTTTCTTCACCACCTATATCTATTACTGGAAATACATAAAATACGTGTGCTTCTCTGTTTGAAGTGTTGAGCAGAGTGCAACTCTAACACAGATCTCTATGGAACATGACTAGAAATGACCATTTATGAGTACCCACAAACAAATATTTTTTTGTCTCTGTCATACAGACAGTTTAGGGCATTTAGTCAGTTATACTGATAGCACTAGCCCATGTGCCATGTAGGATTTCCTTAAGAAGAATGTAAGTTTACTTATTCTGTTGTCAAGGTCCTTTATCACACAAGTTTATAATCTCCGCAAAAAAGGAAATCAGACTTTCTTTATGAACAGATTGGTTTTCCATAAGGCCATGTAAATCAGCATTAATTAAATTCTCCGCCTTTGCTCCCTCTTTCATTTTCAAGGCCGTTTATTATTTTCTGTTTGCTAATGTCTTGTATCAGGCTCAATAGCTAGAGCTATCCTGCTGCTGACACAGAATCAGCATGTTCACACACTACTGGGATTTGCATGATGCTCCAAGACCTCTATAAAATTAGTATCAGAATAAGCCATCTCACTTTTTCACTACCACTGAATTATCATCTTAAATAGTTTGCTGTCTCCCTCTAGCAATCAGCTGATATCACAGCAAGTATTTTGCTCCTGTTAGAATCAAAATTCCTCTAACAGTCTGTGACCCTGGCAGAAGATAGGCTGTACTACAAAGAGGCAGTAGCACAGCACCAGCAGTGTACAAAAGCAAACGTTGAGGAGAGCTGATAAGGACAGGTAAATTGCCATAGGCGCTCTTCCAGCAGCCAGTCAGTGTAATCGCATTTTCTCTTGGTTTTCTACACAGTGTATGTTCTAATTTGTGTTTATTGTCTTTACATTCCCTACATTCACTTTTATATATATACACGCAGGTGTACATACACTCTCACACCACCTATGCTCCCACTTTCACTATTAAAATGTTGCACTTTGGCCAAAGCTCTCTCCATTGCAGAAGAGGCACTTTTTAGCAAGGTCTAAGAAAACCTCTGGATATGCAGCTTCTGTACCTGTTCATGCATCTTTCCCATACTGACCTAGCCAAGATAATGCAAACCCCAGTTTAATACAACTGATTAGCTGTCTTCCATTACTGGTTTGTCCAGGGGACACATTCACACAGTCCTCCCTTCCCTATTCCCCACTGAGTGGGTTTGAGTCCTTCGAACCTTTTATCAGCAGCACTGTGGAGTATACAGATAAAGGAGATCCCATAATGGCTTGACTGTGCAGAGGTCTCTGCAAAAGAATAGAAAAGAAGACTAGTAGATGATAGGAATGCTACTTACTTTATATACTGCAATAATTAAATTAAAAGCATAAATTATTATATACTTGTAGGCTAAACAGGCATCCCATAGAGAGCAAGCGAGAGCATTTAAGATGGGCTTGCCATTTGGTGAGTGCACTGTAAAAGAGCATGTGTCACTCATTTAATTTAATGTATGATTAACAACTCCAGAACATGATTAGCACTTATCTAATTGTGATTGATGTGAGAAATAGGTCAGCAGCCTTTCCACAAGTGCAGATTCATTGATTGCCAAAATGGAAAAGCAAATACATTTGATCATCAGAGGCCCAAGGTTTTGGAAAGTTCCAGAAGCGCTTCCAGCAATGTCCCAGTAAATCTCTGATTACATCTGACAGGAGTGGCTTTAACCATACCCCTGTTTTTTTCAAAGCTGGCATTCAGCTCTCAGATGTTCTCCAACAGGTGGCCTTTAGCTAGACGGTTACCAGGTGGCATTGGTGACAGCAATATTCTGTCCATGTACATAAAATACAAGGGATGTGACAGAATCAGGAGACACCATAAAGTACAAGGGGAAAGCATCCAGATAAACTGTGGCCCATTCTCTTTTTTTCCAGGTTTCCACTTTCAAGGATGAGCTTTTCTGACCTTTGCTCTTCTCTTAAAAATCCTGGATTTGCTCATCCATTCGCTTCAGCCTTTCTCCAAGGGCATTTGTAAGGCAAACATCACATTTATTTCTGCCCTCCCCAAAAGGATTTGGGTGCTACAAGAAAAATGTTTGGTGCAGTGTCTTTTCTCCTTAAAAAAAACTAAGACTTTTGGTGCTCTTCAAAATTTATAATCTGGTTTGGTTTTGGGGGGACTGTTTGGAGGACACAGTGTAGGTGTGTGACTTCATATAGGCATAGAACCTTGATTTTTTTGTTTTGTTAAGTTAAATCGGGACTTTATGGGAGAAGGAGTATACTCCCTTCACCTCTGCTGGGTTACTTAGGTCCCTTGGTAGAGTTTGGCTCCTCTGCCAATGCTGCGACCAGAAAAGCTGGCAGTGTTTTATCAGCCAAAGGGAAGGGGCACAATCTTTCCCCAGGGAAGTAAGAGGCAGCAGCCAGCTCTCCTGTGAGGCACAGTGCTGGCCATGAATTAACTCTGGGAATTTCATAGAATCTTAGAATAGTTAGGGTTGGAACGGACCTTAAGATCATCTAGTTCCAAACCCCCCTGACATGGGCAGGGACACCTCACACTAAACCATGCCACCCAAGGCTCTGTCCAACCTGGCCTTGAACACTGCCAGGGATGGGGCATTCACAGCTTCATTGGGCAGCCCATTCCAGTGCCTAACCACCCTCACAGTCAGGAACTTCTTCCTTATATCCAATCTAAACTTCCCTTGTTGAAGTCTGAACCCGTTACCCCTTGTCCTATCGCTACAGTCCCTAATGAAGAGTCCCTCCCCAGCATCCCTATAGTCCCCCTTCAGATACTGGAAGGCTGCTATGAGGTCTCCACGCAGCCTTCTCTTCTCCAGGCTGAGCAGCCCCAACTTTCTCAGCCTGTCTTCATACGGGAGGGGCTCCAGTCCCCTGATCATCCTCGTGGCCCTTCTCGGGACTTGTTCCAACAGTTCCATGTCCTTTTTATGTTGAGGACACCAGAACTGCACACAATACTCCAGGTGAGGTCTCACGAGAGCAGAGTAGAGGGGCAGGATCACCTCCTTTGACCTGCTGGTCACGCTCCTTTTTGGAAGGAATTTGGGGAAGTCTCTCTTCTTCCAAGAGGTGGAAAGCTTTTTTGTGAATGAGACCCACACCTTGGGTCTCCTGGGTTGGCTGCACTGATTCAGTACCCAGAGTGAGCCTGAGAATGGGCAGTCAAATGCTCCGGATTTAGACATACTGTCTTTTGCTCTCAAGGAGGTTAAACCACAGCCAGGTTTGCCAGCACTAAGCAGGCATACCCCAGGGAAGCAGGGTTGAAGGGACAGCAAGTCACCCATGCCAGCGTTTTGCTTCCATGTTATACAACATGCTGGAGCTGCAGAGCCCCTAGCCTGCCCCCAGGTCAGGGATATTTCTCCTCCATCAAAAGGGTTTGAAATGAAATCTTCATGCTCAGTCAGCAGCAAGGGATGGAAATTGGTACCTGGTGTCTGAGCTTCCAACATTGTACTGGGGGGAAAGGGAAGAAAGAGTGTGGGGCACAGGACGAAAAAGCCATATGTGAACCTTGCCTCTTTCAAAGAAAAAAGTTAGGTTCAGTAACCACAGTGATAATAATATAAAAGAGCATTTATAACTGTGTGTTTATACTCCCATGGGTATTGCTTCAGCAGCATAAAAGGCCTTTAGACCACCCTTAGATGATACTGTCTACTCAGACTGAAACCCTGCCTTACAGCCGTGCTTTTCCTGCGACATCCAGCCCCAGATGCCTGGCTGAAAGCAGAAGTTATTGGTGAACAAAGTAGAATAGCGGACTGCTGATGACGAAGGGAGAAGCAGGTCTGCCCTCTCGTGTACAAAGCATCTACTGCATCTTTTTCTAAATCTGAAATTAATCTCTTCCTTGTGATAGTAAATGAAGAAAATACACGAATGTCTTGAGCATTTTAGCCTTACCATATAAAGAACAAGAAAAGAAAGGATGAAGGATGAGATGATTTACTCTCAGGAATTAGTTTGTAGACTCAAAAGTAACAGATCAATGTTGAGTAGCTTGGCCAGGAGGAGCTGCTTTGAAAACTTAGGCTATCAAACTAGAGACCATGAAAACATGAGTAGTACAAAAACATCTAATAAAATTAGTTAAATCTAATTGCCAGCAAAACTCAACCAGCTGCAAAATTATTGCCCATTAAAAGCAAGAAATTTATTTTATTTTTTTAATGAGGGAACAAAATAGCTTCAGTGTTTTCACTGCACTCATCACAGTGGTAGGACGAAGAGAGAAGATTTCAGTTGAGGCAAGCATATTTTGCCAGCCTTAATTAAACCAGAGAGGGGCAAAAGCCAGCTGACTTCACAGGTTTGGTAAGGTCAGGCTAAGCTTCTGTTTCCTCCTTCTTCCAGCTATTTTCTTCTGAAACATCACGGCCAGTTCCCTTAATCCCTCATCTTCCCAATTCCCACATATTAGATGTGACACTTGTAAGAAATTATAACCTGGACAGCTTCTCTGGACACCAAGATCAAAAGATCAGCCCCGCGATGAGTAGAAAATGCAGCACAGGGTATTTCCAGGGCAAAGCTCAGTCTTGTCCTGCCATGGCACTGGCAGACCAAGCTGCCAGTTTATAACCTGCTGTTCATTTTCTGCTTGCAAACAATTTAGTAACATCTGTTCAGACACAGAGAGAGCCCTGAGGCTGGGCTTGTTCTGCACTGGCCTTCTAGGAACAGATATTTGTCTTTTTTTCTTTTCTTTTTCTTTTTTTTTTTTGTTTTTTTTTCTACTTTTTTTT